GCAGTGAGCATGACAACAGCGTCCCTATGCTCAGGAGTTCACATTCTAATGGCAGGGATGGATGCAAAGGCAGTAAGGAAACAAACACAAGATCGTTTTAGGTAGTGATACATGCTATGAAGATCTTAAAACAGGACAATATGATAAAAAGTGGTTTGGGGAAAGGGCTCTCCTTGATAGGGTGTCCTTTGAAAGCACTTCCAGAAGAGAGAATAGCAAATGCAAAGGCTCAGAGGGAGGAAAGAGCTTTTAGCATTTGAGGAACAGAAGACAGATGGTGTGATTGGGGTACGGTGAGTGAAAAGAAGCTTGCAGAAAATGAGGATTAGGCAGAACCCAGATCTTACAGGCCACAGTGAGGCATTTCAATTTTACTCTAAGTGAAGTGGGAAGTCACTGAGGGCTTTTAATAAGGAAAGGGACATGATCTGATTTATGCTTTTTAAAAAGATAATTTTAGCTGCTTTATGAAAAAGGGGTCATGGCTATGTTCAGTTGCTAGGGATGCCATAACAAAGTACCACAAACTGAGGGGCTTAACTAATGGGAATTTATTGTCCCAGTTGCAGAGGCTAGAAGTCCAAGATGAAGGTGTCAGCAGGGTTTATTCCTTCTGAGGGCTGTGAGGAAGAGTACATTCCCTGCCTCTCCTCTGGCTGCTGGTGGTTTGCTGGCATTCTTTGGTATTCCTTCACTTGTAGAAGCATTGCCCCAATCTCTGCCTTCATGTTCACATGCCATTCTCCCTTTGCCCATGTCTGTATCCAAATTTCCCCTTTTTATACAGATGCCGGTCATATTGGATTGGAGCCCACCTTAACGACCTCATCTTAGCTAATTACATCTGCAAAGACCCTGTATCCAAATACCTTTGCATTCCGAGGCACTGGGGGTTAGCACCTCAACGTATAAATGGGAGGGACACAATTCAGCCTCTAACTATGGCCATTCGCTCCTATGCCTTAGTAAATACAATTGGATACTAGAGGTGCAAGGTAGTCACACTACTGAGCATCCAGCGAAGAGCTAGTGAGTGGCAATGCTCTGTACTGAGGGGGGTGACACTGAGGAGGAGCAGTTATGGAAGGAAATGAAGAGATAAGCTTTGAACATGATGATTTTGAGGTGTCCACAAGAGATTCAAGAGGAATATCCAAAAGGGAACTGGAAATACACTATAGAGCACAGGAGACAGGTCTGGGCTGGGGATGTTGATTTGAGAGCCATGAATATCCCAGGCAACGGTCAAGGAAATAAGTGAGCTCACTGGGAAACATGTACAGAGAAAAGAAAACCAACACATAGGTATTGTATCCTAGGAACACTGACATTTAAGGCCTGAGCAAAGGAGGCTCCAAAGTAAATTGAGAAGGGGAAGCAGAGACAGGTGGAAAATCAGGAAGCAGAGATACCATGTGAGCCAGGGGAAGGCAGAGTTTCAAAAAGGAGCAACTTGGCAAGTTGACTTCTACTTCTGGCAATGGTGGGCCAAGTAGTTTGGGTCAATCCTACCACTGAAGACAACTGAAAGTGATGGGGGATTGGTTTTATTTTATTTTATTTTTTAGTATTTTTTTTTATTTTAGCGTATTATGGGGGTACAAGTATTAAGGTTACAAATATTGCCGATGCCCCCCTCCTCCCTCGAGTCAGAGCTTCAAGTGTGTCCATCCCCCAAACGTTGCACATCTTACTCGTTGTGTTTGTATATACACACCCCCTCCTCCCCCCTCCCACCTGCCCAACACCTGATGAATGTTATTCCTATATGTACTTTTAAAAACAGAATCTTAAGAACGTAGACAAGCTCACAAGAATGTGAGGGATAACCAGGCCAAAATCTAGACGATTTCAGAATCTTGCACAACTCCCCCGACAACCCCTACACACACCTCCCAGGATCGAGCAGAGGGTTAACTTGAAGTAGAACGGATCCAGGGAGAAGAGAAAGGAAGGACGGGAGACAGGAAGGTAAGCAAGGATGGAGGGAGAAGGCAGAAAGAACAGGAAAGCTCATCACTGAGAGGTCATAGATCAAACACAGGCCCTCCTCTGGAATCAGCAACCAAATTGGCATCACTGGAGGAGACCAAGGAATCACAAGCTGTGAAATGTAATGTCATCAGGATCATATTTACGGTCAGGGTTTTTTTTCCCACTCCCATGTTTCCCCCAAAATAAGACAGGGTCTTATATTTATTTTTCCTCAAGAAGACACCCTAGGGCTTATTTTCAGAGGATGTGTTACTTTTTTTAAGTACGGTACAACAATCTACATTTATTCAAATATAGTTAAGTCGTCTTCTTCTGGAACATCATCATAACTCTCCAAACCCCAAATTCTGTCCTGAATTTCTTGCGACTCTATTTCCTTTAGAACCATTGGCCCCAGTCTCTCATGTCGAGCAATAGAGCTTTCATGGGGCAGATGAAAAGGGCTGCTCGTCTTCTTTATCACTCCGCAACGAAATGCATGGGATGTGCAGATATGCTACGTAGCCATGCCCAGCACTAGGTCTTATTTTTGGGGTAGGGCTTATATTGCGCAAATGCTTAGAAATCCTGCTAGGGCTTATTTTATGGGTAGGTCTTATTTTCAGGGAAGCATGGTATTATTAAAAAGACAATAGTTTTTAAATCCAATTAAATGTGTTGCAAACCCTTAAGGATATATATACCATGGATATACTTACCAAAGAAAAGCTGAAGTAGCTATGTTAATTTCATAGACAAAGGCATTACTAAAGATAAGGAAATCCATTCACAGTAGCAATCCACATACCAGGAAGGTATAATAAGTTTAAACTGTATGTACTAATAACATAACCACAAAAGCACGTAAAGCAAAATTTATCAGAACTTTCAAAAAAAAAAATTGACAAGTCCACAATCACAGTGGGAGATTATAATACATTCAGTTAGTAATTGATACAACAAAAGGAAAAATTTAATAGCAATTCAGAAATTTTAAAAGATAGGATTAACAAATTTTACCTAATAGACATAGACAGAAGACAGCATTTAACAACTGCAGAAAATACATTTTTTTCTTCAAACACACTTAAAAATTTATGCAAATTGACTGTATACTGGCTTAAAAATCTCAACACATGTAAAAGAATAAAATCATAAAGAGCATGTTCTCTAATTCCCAAGCAATTAAATGAGAAATCAGTAACAAAAAAGAACCCAGAAAAAACCCCTTATGATCAAAAATTAAGAAACATGTTTATATGTAACCCAAGAATCAAAGAATGAATCATATAGAAACTAGAAAATATTTTGAACTATATAATAATGAAAATGTCATACATGAAAAATGTTGATACAACCAAAGCAAAAAGAGGAAAATGTATTGCCTTGATACATTAGAAAAGGAAAGAGGCTGAAAAATGATGAGCTAAGCATCGATTTCAATCAGTTGGAAAAAGAACACCAAAATAAACCCAAAGATAACAGAAGAAAATATTAAACATAAGAGAAAACGATAAAACAAAAAACAAACATATGATAGAAAGGTATGACACAGCCAAAAACTGAGTCTTTGAAAGGATTAGTAAAATTGAGAAACCAATTAATTTTAGTGGAAATTATCACAGAAAAGAGAGAGACAAGGAACAAGAGAAGACATGGAAAACCGTATCTGCCAGCTGTCCTTCCTGCCCCACACAAGGCTGCAGGTGCCCTGCCTCTCCAGGGGGAGGCCTTTGCCTTGCCAGCTCCGGGTCTGCAGGGTCTCAGTGCATCTCAGGCACAGACTCGCATTAACTCAATTCACACAAACCAGAGTACAAACCAGATGCCAGTTTGTCCCTATGTAGCAGGGACTGTCCCTTCCTAGTGCCTGGAATGCACCCTCCACTCCAGGGCACCCTGTCCCAGAGGTAGGGTGGGGAACAGAACAGCAGAGTAGCCAAGTACATGGGATCAGGAGCCAGGCTACCTGGGTTCAAATCCTAGCCCTCAAATTTAACTTACGCTCTGAGTTTCAATTTCCTCATTTATAAATTTTGGATAATAACGGGGTTATTGTGATGATTTGTTGAGTTAATACATATAAAGAGCCTAGAACAGTGCCTGGCCTACTCGAGCACCCAATAAATGTTAACAGTAACAACTGCTACTAACTGGGAAAACAAATTATTACTCAGAAGATTGCTTAGTAAACGTGGAACTAAGGGAAGCCCCATAAAATATCCCAGCTCCACTAGGGAGACTCCTCCCCCGGGGCTTCCATTTCCTGAGCCTCTCCTCCCTCCACAGGGCTGGAAAGCAACAAACAGTTCTTGTTTCTCTGATCTTTTTAATTCCCATCTAACCATTCCAACTCCCCCACCCTTCTTGTAAATATGTTACCATAGCTGTGAACTGAAAGCAGTTTTTTTATGTCCCATATCTTGATTTCACATAAATGTCACAAAACTCTTCTACATGTTGGGTGCTGTTCCAGTTATAACAGCCCAACGCAAACATAATGGCTTAAAACAGAGGTCGGCAAACTGTATCCCACTGCCTGTTTGTGTACAGCCCATGAGCTAAGCATGGCTTCTTACGTTTTTAAAGAGTTGGAAAAATATCAAAAGACAAATACTGTTTCATGACATGGGATGCTACATACCATGGCCACCATAAGGCCCCTCAGACTGAAATTCACATTTCAGTGTATACGACGAAAGTTGTATCAGAACACAGCCACACCCGTTCGTCCACGCATGGCCTGTGGCTGCGTTTGCGCTACAACAGAGCTGAGTGGCTGCAACAGAGACCTGACGGCCTGCGAGCCTAAAACATTTACTATCTTGCTCTTTACAGAAGTTTGCCAGCCCCTGGCTTAAAACATCAACCGTCATTTATTTCGCTGACAAATCTGCAGTGCAGGCAGCACTCCGTGGGGACAGACAGGTTATCTCTTTTCTTTCCAGCGTCTTCTGGGCTCGCTGGAGGCTAGGAGTGACTCGCTGCCTCGGGGTGGGACTTGTCTGAAGTCTGAGCTCACTCACCTGTTCGGTGGTGGGTGGGTGGGGGCTGCCAGCTGGGGCCTCAGCTGGCACTGTTGGTCAGACATCCACGGGTGACCTCTCCGTGTGGCCACTTGGCTTCCTTGCAGTGTGGTAGCTGGGTTCCAAAAGCAAATGTCCTAAAAGACAGGAAGCAGAAACTGCCAATTTCTTAAGATCTGGCCCCAGAGACTGGCACAACTTCACTTCCACCATATTCTCATGATTAAGCGGTCACGGAGCCCAGATTCCAGGGGATGGGACGTAGGGTCCACCTTTCGTTAGAAAACATGTCAGATAATTTGGTGGGCATGTTTTAAACCCACCACAGCTGTTGTGAGGACTTGGGGGCACACAGCAGGGACTCGCCGAAGAGTAGCTGTTGCCAATGCTGCTGTTGCCACTGCTGTCACTGGCCAGCATTGTCACCATCATTTCTGATTATGCTCTGAGGAAGCCTTTGCTCACGAGGGCCCAGGAGGTATCCTGTCTCCTTCTTGGGCATTGCTTTACATAGATTCTGATTAAAACTGGCCTGCAGTAGAGTTCAGGCAGCCTTATTCTTCAGAAGCTCCTCAGGTGATTCTAATGTGCAGCCTGGGCTGAGGACCACTGGGCCCCGGAGCATCTCTAGCATTTGCAGAGCCCACCCCACTCCATGGCTGTCAGCCCACGCGCAGTGGATGGACACATGTCTCTAGCCCTCTGTGTGAAGACTTGAGAATGGAAACCTGGCTCACCTCTGAATTCCCCACAGAGCCCAGACCAGGCTTAGAGCATAGCAGGGTCTTGAGCAATGCCATGGGAGTGGCACCCATGGGGCCCCAGGATTCCAGCCCTTCAGTCCCTGTAAGCTCGTTCTGACATGGGGCTGATCCAGAGTAGAGGTGCCTGGCCTTTGTCCAGCCTTCCAAGCCTCTTCTTGTCCCTGCGTCTCCTTCTAGATGGGCAGTTTCTGGGAAAACACATTGAAAGGCATGAGCTTAGGGCAAAAAATTGTTTGGTTGCCCCTTTCCTTGGAGAGAGGAATGACCTTAAGTGGGGTCCCTGGTTGTTTTAGAAGATGAGGAAAAGGCCTAGATGGCATGAGGGTGGTCCCCTAGCCTTGCGTAAGGCTTATGCACAGCCCACGGTCAGCCATGCACAGAGCCCTTGCCTTGAGCCCCGTTCCACACCAAAGCCTGGCTTCTAGATACAGCCCCAGAGTTGGGTAAACCACCTGCCATGGTCACCATAATGCTCCTCAGACTGTGGCCACATGCAGGAGTCCTTTCAGTGGGCACCTAGGCCCTTCCAGTCGTAGAGACACATGGCCCAGTGGCTCTAGTGCCACCTACCCCAGTCCTCACCAAGGAGTTTGGGACTCAGAGCTGCCAATGTGGAGTTGCAGCAAGAGTCTGCACTGGAGGAGGGGCTGGGAGACTTCTCATCAGCTGGGGCTTTGCGAGGTCAAAGGTCCCACTGCAAGTGTCCACACCAGCTCCATTGAGGATAAACTGCTTCCTCCCCACACTCAGCCCTAATCCTGGTCACATCAATGCGACCTCAGACTGACCACAACCATGGCCACAGACCGATCCTGACACTGACTCACACTGATTCCAGTCCTGGCCAACCTCTGATACTGGCCACAAAACTGACCCTGTCCAAAAACTAACCCTACCCTGGCTACAAAACTGACCTGACCTGGACCACAGATTGACTTCTTACATCTGAACAGGGTTAGTGAAATGTACAATGCCATAGCATGACCTCACATGCCCGCAGCTTCAGCCGGGCTACACTTGAGTGACGACCATGTAGGCCAGGAGGAAGCAAGTCTGTCCTGTGCAAACCCAGGCTACACTTGAGTGACGACCATGTGGGCCAGGAGGAAGCAAGTCTGTCCTGTGCAAACCCAGGCTACACTTGAGTGACGACCATGTGGGCCAGGAGGAAGCAAGTCTGTCCTGTGCAAACCCAGGGCCACCTGCAGCAAGCAGGCTCTGCATAACTGCTCCCAGGCTAGAGGGCTTTGGGCACCATCCAGAACTCCTGGAAGAGGCCACGTGGTTGCCCAGCACACCAGCATATTATCCTTTGCACTGGAGTCCCCCACCAGGCACTGCTTCTCCTCTCTGCTTACTCTGGTCCTGCCACCTCCAGCCCCACCTGCCCTAGGAGGCCGGTCTGACCGCTCCACTTAGGTTTTCAAAGATACCTGGCCACATAATCCTGGCAGCAAGTGTCTTCTAAGAGGGTCACTGACAGTTTCTTTCCTCAACCTTCCAATCCAACAGTGGACACAAAACCTGTCCCTGTTCCCCCCAACAAAACTCACTGAAACCAGCCTGGAATTTAAGTAAATCTCACTGCCTTCATAATTGCTGGGGAGAAGTCTGGTGTCAATTTGCTGTGGGTTCATCTTTGTAGGTTATCTGTCTTCTCTGATAAGTCAGCAGGAAAGGGGATATGGGACCAAAGGGACAAGGAGAGGTTCATCCCTTGGGACAGAGGGGGTATGGACAATGAAGTGGGAGCCTGGTTGAGGGTGCCTTGCCATGCTGTTCCCCCACCCTGTCCACTGCACTATGTTCCAAGTGCCACCTTCTCCCCCTCCAGTATTCCTGAGCACCCAAGTTTCTAAGAGCCAGGGTGCTGTCCATACACACAGACCCTATTCTCATAGCTCCAGACCACCCCTCTTTCATGTCAGGGTGCTATTCAACATTCATGCATGACTGGCCAAGAAACATTGTGCATGTGAGTACCTGTTATACAGGTATATGTATACTTGTATGCATGCATATGGATGTACCTGCATATTCATGTAAAGGTGTGTGTTTGTGTGGGTACATGTATGTGTGTATGTACATGGATATAGATGAGTGCATGCATGTGAGGCATCTCCATGTAGGGGGTATGTTTCATATACACGTGGATATACATGGGGTGTGTATTTGTGAATGTGTTGTGTTTTGTGAGTGTGACTATACATATGCTTTTGTGAGTGTGTGTGTTTGCATTTTTGAGGCCACGTTGCTCTTCCATCCCTGACCAGCAGTGTTCTTGAAGGAAGAGCCCTGTCATGCCCCTTCATCTATGTTTCCTGCATACTCCTTGGATGGCATGTGGCAGATTCCCAGCAAAGCTTCAGGGCTTGAGTCTAGTGGGACAAGATCTTAGGTCTTCCATGTCTGTGGCCAGTAGCCTTGCCTTGACAGAGCCAGATGTCAGCAATTCAGTGCCCAGAAATTCAGGGTGGCCTGGAGAAATGAGGAACCAGTAGCCTTTGGGGTGGCCTTGTGCCTCAAAGTTGTTATCCCAATGCCAAATCCAAGTTCAAGGGGCAGTTACTTCTGGTACACACTACCTGCGGCAAATGTTGTCCTTCCATCCTCATATCCTGTCCCTAGGCCCCAATCCCCTGATCATGCAAAGTGCTAGCCACTGTTCCCACCCCACCACTAACTCCCAGGTCCACCTATCACTCCACCCTCCATACACACTTTTGCAGAGAACAAGAAGAGACAGCCTATATGTCTTCTGTTCCCAGTGAGTTAAAGTTTTCCACAGCTGGGATTCTGAGCAAGCCTGAGGGGGAAAACCAAAGAGTACCCAGTGGAAAGATCCCACATCCCTGGGCAATACCTTAACCTCTGTCTCAGCCCTGCTCACTCATGAAATAACTTCAAAGACTTCTCAGGATTCTGCTGCACCCTGCAGGCTGGGAGAGATTGTTAGAGGGTGAATTGACTCCCTCTAACTGGTTCTCAAGGCCTATAAGGAGCCTAGGACCCCAGCACACAGGCCCACACACTGATCCACCCTACCCTTCCTTCTAGGTGCTGAAGGAGAAGCAGAAAGTAAAGCATCCTGAGAAAGGCATGAGGCATCCTGGGAAGGGCATGGGGCATCCAGGGAAAGGCATGAGGCATCCTGGGAGGAGGATATAATTTGGGTCTGGTCCCAGCTAAACTATTTGTTAGCTTTGTGACCTTTGGCAAGTTCTTATGTTTTCTTATATAGGGTGATGAAATAATTTAAAATCCAAAGTACAGCACTCTTGAGAGTGACAGGGGCCACTTTTAATAATTATTACGAGTGATACTTATTACTAGTGATTATTACTAGTAATAATTATTATTATTACTCAGAGAGCAGGTATAACCCTAAATGTTCAAGAGAAATGAGACATATAATCACCCTATGTCATCCTTTAGTAGCGATGATGAACATAATGATGACAATGATGATAACAGTAAAGGACTTTCCAAGGGAAGAGCCCCTGGTAGACTTTCAGACATTCCATTTTGGCCTTAAAGTAGAGGCTGAGCATGAAGAGAAGGAGAAATGGCCACAGACAGGGCAGCCTGTCTCCCGCCCCCTCTGCCCTCTCCCTGCCCTGCTCACCTCCACGTGCCCTCGTGCCACGACAGCACTGATGCCTTTAGCAGCCGCCCAGGTTTATCTTCAGGGGAGTGTGAGGTTCAGATAAATTTTCTGGCAGATGTGGGCTTGTGGCCGACTGCCAGAGGTGGGAATGGCCCTGCAGGCATGGGGTCACCTGGGTTATTTTTACTCCTCTATGTGGGGTCAGGGGACCTTGGGAAGGAAAAATCTACAGTGTGGAGGAAGAGGGACTTCATCTCTGATGAGCTGGACCTGGCTATGCCTTCCAGCTTGGCATAGGGGAAGGAGAAGGAGGAACCCCCAGGGCAAGGCTCTGGAAAAGCAAGGACAAGAAGGAGCCGGGGAAAAATAACCCTGGAGAAGAACCTATTTTAAAAGTCATTCTTTTTGGTTCCAGCTCTTCCCCCAACCACACCCCAAAGCCCAGGCGTTGGGCCACAGGGTGTGGTGACAAGGTGTGGGTGGTCAGTGACGGAAAACCCTTAGGCACCCAGGGCAGCTGGGGAGAAGCCAGGTGGGAGTGTGGATAGGGGGTAGGCAGAGGTCACCTGTCTCACCACCCTGGAGTGTCTCAGACCGATGTCTTCCAACTTTCTTGATAGTGACACACATTGTATGCCACAACCCAGAAAACACAAAGTTTTCCAAAAAAATTCTTGCCTTTATTAAGTCAATGCATCTTTATATTTTCAGTTATACTCTTCTACTTTTTAAAATGCTGATTGCAGCTCATGGCATTGTTTTCACAACCCACTATAGGTCATGACCTGTGGTTCTGAAAGTCAATACTCCAGACTGGAGCTTTCTAGACCTTAATGTACCTGCCAATAAATCACCCAGGAGCTTGATAAATGTAGGTTATGGTCCAATTGGACTGGAAGGTGACCTGAGACTTGGCATTTCACACAAGCTCCCAGGTGATGCCAGTGTCGCTGGTCCTCAGACATTAGAGTAGCAGGGCCCTGGAACAGTTTCAGCAAAGCATCAGAGGAAGGGTTACCCCACCAAAGGCTGTCCCTCTCTCAGCCCCCAGGCAAGGCTGCAGCTGACATGCAGCAAATACACTGATGTCCTACGGGGGCAAAGAGCTGCCCTCCAGGCACCCAGGACAACAGCTATGATCTGGGGGCCAAGTGAGTGTACAGCTGCCAGCCAGCCTTAGGAACCTCATCAAAAATAGAAAATAAGCAATAAATAACACCTGTAAGTTTGAGCATCTCACTCAGGACTCCAACAAGCAAGGCTGACAATGTCACAAACTGGGGTAACTCATTGGATATCTAGCATTAACCAGGAAGAGCTCCCTAGTTACTGTTCTATTCTCTGGGCAGAACAGTAATGTTGACCTTGCTGGTAAAGTATTCAAGTCAGAAAAAGCTATGCAGCAATATATTAGGGCATCAGGTTCCAAATAGAGCTCCAGGAAACACTAGCTCTGCAAGATGATCAGCAAAACATGAGTTCCAAGGCTAAATGTGTTTGGGAAAACAGCGTATTAACTAGCCCTGTTCACAGTGGACTGTTCTGGGAAGACCTGCAGTCAAGAATCTGGTTTGGTTTGTTTGAACACATCCTTTCCCAAACTTACTCAACCATGGAAGTCTTTTTTCTTTATATTTTAACCCATTGTTATAGACTAAATTGTGTCACACGCACACCCAAATTTATATGTTGAAGTTCCAACCCCCAATGTTACCGTATTTGGGGGCAGGGCTTTTAAGGAAGTAATTAAGGGTAAATGAGGTATCAGGGTGGGACTCTGATGCCATAGGACTGGTGTCCTCATAAGAAGAGGAAGAAAGCCCCACACAGAGGAAAGGCCATGTGACATCACAAGAAGGCAGCTATCTGATAGCTAGGAAGAAAGGCCTCACCCAAACCCAACTCTGATGGCACCTTGATCTTGCACTTCTAACTCCAGAACTAGGGGAAATAAATTTCTGTTGTTTTAACCAACCAGTCGGTGGTTACATCAACCCAGACTGCCCAACATACCTGTCTGTGATCATCTCGTGTAACCCACTTTAACAATGCAGGATTGGGGGGTTGTGCTTTCCATACCCTTGACCTCATAGGCGACTTACAAGTCTCCTAAAGTGCAGAATTTAGGGAGGGACTATGAGCCCCATCGTAGAGATTAGGAAACTAGAATCTATGAAGTGAGTGGCCCAAAGTCACACAGCCAGGCAGAGCTGGGCGCACAGAATTCAAACTCAGCTCTGAGTGTGGTCATAAGACCACGTCCCCGCTCTCCAGAGGTTGCAATCTAGCTATGCGCACATGCGATATACCCACTCATGATGAATAGCGGCTCATCTTCCCCTGCACAAGGCCGTGTGCTAAGAAAAATGGTGTTGCTCAAAGAAGGTTTCCAGTAGGCTGACTCCAGAGTGGGGTACAGAAGTAACCGGGGATGAAACTGACAAGACCAGTTGATGGCAGAAACTTAGATACTAGGCCGAGGACCTACTGTTGACACAGTTAGGTAGTGGACAGCCATTGTAGGTTCTTGAGCAGCAGAGGTACGACATGGACTGAGTTGGCCAAGGTGTGTGAGATGGCTGGGAGGAGCCTGCATCCGGGAGGCACGGGGGCCAGACCAGCAGCAGTGTTATTCTGCAGAGGTGGAACATGGAGGGGCGTTTCCCCCCATCCCTGCCCTCGTGCTCTTGCCACCTGAGCCAGGGATGCAGAGTCCGGGCTGGTTGGATTTTCCAGGCCTTGACATTTGGAGCTGCTTCTGGTAGCCAGCCCTCCCAGCCTCCCGCTGGGGAAACACGATGAGGGGAGGACGGCACATGGAAAACTAGTTAAGGTACTAAACACATACGCGGTCTGTCCAGAAAGTACCCAGCCATTGCTAATATAACAAGAACGGTTTGCGCAACATGCACGCAACCTGGCAGCCAGGGAGAGTGGACGGGGATGCGCTGCGCGAACAACGACGGCTCCACTGTACTCTCAGTGGGGCGGGAGACGTCGTTGAGGGAGCATGCGTGCTGTGCGACCACCGCATTCAAAATGACTTGGCGAGTAGAGCAACGAATCTGCATCAGATTTTGGGTTAAGCTTGAACATCCCTACGTGGAAACTGTTCGGATGACTCAGATTTTGAGAACGATACAATGAGTGCAGCGCAAATAAAAGCGTGACACAAACGCTTCAAAGATGGTCAAGAACCTGTTGAAAGTGACCCACATTCGGGAAGGTCAGAAGTGATAGAGGCAGCGTGAGGAGACTCTGCCCTTTCCTATTTCTTGCTCAAAGCAGTGCTCCCATTTTACACCACGCAAACTGGGGTGGAAGGAACGAACTGCCTCGCCTGGCCCTGGCCACGCAGCCAGGATCCCCATCCTCCCGGGGAGGGGCGGCAGCAATGCCAGCACCTATTAGTTCCTGGGGGGAAAGCCTTAAACTTTCCCAGTGGGGCCACCACTGCCCCACCCCAGGGAGCAGCACAAACTGTATTCTAGGGAGGCAGCAGGGCAGGAGGACAGAGAACACAGATGACAGGGATTGCAAGTCCATCCCTGCCAGCCTCCTACCTCCCGTGTGGACTTGAGCAAGCTGTTCTACTGCTCTCTCACCTGTGAAATGGGTCATAACAGCTGTCGAACAGGGTCAGCCTGAGAACTAAAAGAATTAATATTTGTGAAGCGCTGATAACTGTGTCTCTCTCACCCTTAGCACTATACATTAATTCACTGGGTTCCTTGGGACGGGTGTCCCCTGGAGTTGCTGCCACTTAGCAAACCAGGAAAGAGGATTGTCACTATGGGCAAACCAGAGTTCAAGCCGGGGCCAAGACTTAGGATTTGACCCTCTGTCTGCCACTCACTGAATGATGATTTGCACTGGCAAATCCTCCAGGAAGTGTCCCCTCATCAGGGAAGCCTAGTGAGGTCAAAGCCACGGCTTCCCCCAGCCCTCTTTTGGAGTGCTCTGATTTCCCTCCCAGACCCTCCCTGTCCCCTCCCCACACACAGATGGCAAACACTGTGGGCCCTGAGCAGGTTCTCTCAAGGGGGGCCCTGCAGGGGGTGCCAGAGTGTGGTGAGGCAGAAGGGGACCAGAGACACTGGCTCTCCTGGCCATGGTAGGCACAGGGCATCTGGCCTCGTGTCTCCTGTGCTGTGGCCACAGTGCACAGCCTTCTCTGCAGGGACCATTGTGGCTGGGGCTGGGGAGGCACCTCTCCTGTGGCCCCCACCCTCCCTCAGTGGAAGATTCTGCTTCCCTTCTCCTGGCCCCGGGTGTTGGAGGCCACAGGGAGGCCCTGCAGTCTGTGGACCCTGGCTGGAGGCCTCGATGTCTTCCAGGTGTGGGGAGGCCCAGCTGGACAGGCAGGTGTGAGGAGGCCCAAGCAGCTGCGGGTGTCTGGAAGGCATTCGGGCAGCTAATGAGCACGGGATCTAATTAAAACATCGGAGGAGGAATCTGGGTCCAAGACATGTGGAACAGGAAGTGTAGACCAGGGGCCTGCCTGAGCCTGGGTTCAGGGGGAGAGCTGAGGAGCAGGGCCAAGGCTGGCACAGACATGGCCCTGACCCTACCCTTCCTGGCCCTACCTCTTCCTTCAGGACCTAAATCATGTGGGCCCTACGGTGGCTGAGGGCCTGCACCATGCCACAGCTCTTAGCTGAGGCAGAAGGCAGGGGTAAGGAACAGGACCTGGCCCAGCGAAGTCCTCCAGGCCTGGCCAAGCTCCGCCCATGCCTGTTTCTGGGGAAAACACTCAGGCGGGGGCTGCACTCAGCTGAGCCCTGTGAGGACAGGGGCCAGATCTGCCTTTGCTGTGACCCAGAACTCAGCAGCTGCTAAATTCAGATCTTCAACCGAAGCCACTTCCCCAAGGTGTCTCTGAGGGCGGGGATGGGGTGGAAGGGGAGTGCTGAAGAGAAAGGCAAGGAGGGTCTCCAACCTGATACCCCCTGGGGCCCAGCAGAAGTAGATCAAGCAAGGACATCAGTCTCCACTACTGTCACCCCATCACCACTGTCACACTGCTACTCAGCACCGTCACCACCACCAGCAACCCTCCGACTCGACGCCTGGAGAATGCCCCTCTGTGGAACACACATCTCCTGCCGCCCCCGGCTGCGTGTCCCGCCTCCTGTCCTGGGCAGCAGGCACTGGCTTCCTGGCACACAGTGCAGACCCAGACGGGTGCCCCCCACCCCACCCCCGCCAGTGTCCTGGACAGGGAGCCTCAGACCCTAGGGACTCAGGTGAGGGGCAGGGCAATGTGGCCCCCACATCTACACACTGGGGCTTCCTCTGGGACAACCCCAGACAGACCTGGCTCCCGGCTCTGCTCCTCCAAGGCCTCTGTGTCCCCCAAATCTGGAATGCCCTTCAGTCTGGACCAGAAAACTTCCTGTGGTGGAGCTGTCTCTAAATAATGGGCTCAGGGACCTGGAGTCCTGGGTGAGAGTCTGCCGGGTCCCCCCACACCTACGCCCGCACCCGCCAAGCTGCCTCTCTTCCTCCTCAGTGTCCCTGCCCCCTTCCTTCCCATCTGCTCCCAATAACTGTGGCTAACGTCTCCCAGCGGGCCTTCCCCTCCCGGTCCCTGAGGGGGCCTGGGGAGGCAGACACCCCCATGCTGGTCCCGGACTCAGGGTGTTAACGAGGAACAGGTTTCACCCCAGCTGCGGGCTAGACCCTGAGACGGGGGTTTCCTCCCTCCTGCCTTCTCCTTTATTCTTCAAATGGCCCCACTTCCCCAGAAGATGCCGGGGACAAGAGGAGAAGAAGGTGGGAATGAAGGCTTCTGTCTGGTGTGGTGTGATGGGGAGGGGAGGAGGAGGCAGAGGCAGCAAACGGGCTGACTCAGAGGGGCCCAGTGCTGAGGTCAACCACAGACCTGGGGGCAGTCCTAAGAGAGAGCTGGACATGGGGTCCCCCCACCAGCCCACACTCCTGGGCCCTCAGCCTCAACTCCCTCACCAGGCTGCCTGATCCCATCCTCCTCACCCCACAAGTCGTGGGGAAAAGCCCACCCCCTGAAGACTTCCTGAGGACCCCTTATCCCCCAGGAGGACAGACCCCTCTCCCTGGCCCAGAAGCAGCCTCAGTCGCCCTGCAGGACACTTGCTGGCCCAGGTCTGTCTGCTTCTCCAAGGGCAGGATCAGTCTCACTTGCCGGCCCTCCTCCACAGCCTTCTGGGCTCTGCAGATTCTCAGTAAATATCACTTGGATGAATGAATGAATGAATGAATGAATGAATGAATGAATGAAATGAGGGCAGCCTAGGAGACACGTGGCCATGTAGGCTCAGGCAGGCTCCCCCGACCTATGCCTCTGGGTGGGCTTGGGGCAGGCGCTGCTTCCCCCACGTGGAAGGTTCTGAGGCTCCGGCTGAAAGATGCAGGTGGAAACTGCTCCAGGAGGGCAGAGAAGGCTCGCCTGGTATCCGGCTGCACCCCTTCTGCTGCCGGGCCTGCACAGTGCAGTTCCCAGGGCCAGGCAAGCACAGAGAGTGTGGGAACTCGGCCCCACTGCTCTCCTGTGTCCTCCCTGCCCTGACACACATCTCCTCGCTCACCGCTGTGGGCGCACTGGCAGGGCTCGGGAGGAAAGACTCGGCATCTCGGCGCTCACTCGCCAGCATCCACGGGGAGCGTAACGTCCAGCAGAGCCAGGTCTTCAGCAGGGACCATGCCTGGTGAGCCTGGTTAAAGGACACTGTGTGCTGAGGGCAGGCCTGGGTGGACCCGATGGCGAGGTCCCCAGTTCTACCTCACCTGGGTGGATACAGTCATTCTGTAAAGGCTAAAAAGTCTGTCCCCAGCCCCAGACTGACCCCTCACCCTTGTCCCCCAAAGCCCTTTCCTACCATCTCCATCCCCCCTTCCCCTCCTCAACAGCCCCCTTGTTCCCATACTCCTGGTGGGGTGACTCCACCTGTCACCCTGCTGAGAGAGTCCCCTGCACACTTTGAGCCTCCTGCTCAGGAGCAAACAAGCCCCATGCACCCCGCCCCCAACCCCAAGCATGAGGTGCAACCACTCCCCGGCAATCCCTCCCACAGCCTTCACCGGGGACTGGCTGAGGCCAGCGCAGGGGAGGCGGCTGCCCACAGGCCTTCCAGGGGCAGAGCGGCACTGTGGCTGGAGCCTGACCACGATTTAATTTGCTCCCCTCAGACCGCTCAGGGATGCTGCTTCCTCGGGATGCTGCCCAGGATTCTGCGTGGTGCAAAGACCATGAGAAGCTTCCCCAGGGCCTGGTGCCTCTGGCCTGGTGCCAGCCGCTGGCCACCCTTGCTGGGCCAAAGGGAGAGGCGAGAGGCAATCCCAGGCTCTGGATGAGGAAAGGGGAAGCCCCCAGGGGGCAGTCACACTCACACGAGTGGCACTGACTGCAGGGCACCACCTTCTATGCCACATGTCTTTGCCATAAGCGCTTTAGCTCCTCAGAGGGCAGGGCAGCCCTTCCCCTACCAGAAGGACCCCTCCTCGCCATTTCCAATGTGGGCTCCTCTTGGGGATCATGCAAGCTAGAGCCTTGAGAGGGTGATGTTCACCCCCAAAGACGTGGCACTCTGGTAAGCAGCCAGAGGACATTCATGGCTGACTCATTCATGGCTGACTCACGTCTGACCTTCAGGCCTATCACCTCCTCCAGGAAGTCTGCCCTCATGGGGAGCTCCCTCCTGTGTTCCGTGGCCACCGTCTGACCGTGGCTCACAAAAGCCAGGGCTCTCGCTCCCCCATCAGAGTGCGTGTCCTCTAAGGCAGTGGCTGTGCCTTCCCCAACAATCCCTGGCTCTCCACACGCAGGGACTGTGTCTCCCCATCAGATCTCAGGCCCCCCACGAGCGAGGACTATGTCTCCTACGTTGGCCTGGAGGCTCACAGGAGCAAAGACTATGGCGCCCATCAGTGTGTGTTCTGCGGGCA